ATTGCACTCTTCCCAGGTGAGGCAGATCAGTCGCCGGCTTCTGGACGGCCACTCACTGCGGCTGCTGGCCGCTCACGCTGGCTGCTGGCTACATACAATAGCCCATGGTAAACCCCTGCAGCAGGGGCTGCGGCCGACGCTGTCTCCGGCGATGCACGGCAGCCCAGCTCCAGGTTGAGCTGTTGTTCAGAATCTTAGCTGTGGAGGGCAGTGTCACTGGCCCTCATATGTGGGATCTGAACCGGGGCCCTCTGGTGTCCCAAGCCAGTTCTTAACCAAGGCGCCACTCGGCTGGCCCCCAGAGCTCTTTTTTGCACCTACAAACTAGGATAACAATGCTAAGCACCCCACAGGGCATTCTGTGGGGCACAAATTTGTTCCTTTACATAAGTGCTTTGAGAACGCAAAGCGGTACACCAGTGCTGGCCTCACATCTTTTTATTCTCTCCCTCTAGCCCAACTCTGGTCTGGAAAGTCCATGACCTCCCCTTGGCCACGCTGGCTGCCCAGCTCCAGTTTGTTCCATGAAAAGCTATTTCAACCCCAGAAAGGCTGTTCTTATCAACTCGCCAGGGAAGCCACGTCCTCTAAAGCCAAGGGAAGAGAAAGAGCAAGTGTAGATGTCCTACAGGCCCCAACTCAGCAGCTGGGAGCTGCAGTGTTTGCACACCAGGGCACTTTTTCTGAAGACATCAGGAGTTTGATCGGCTACCTGGGGCTTGAGGTCATGGGGCCAGCTGTGCAGTGGCGGCCAGAGCCAGCCCTGCCCATCAGAGAGACCAGAGAGAAGCTGAACCCTTTTCTCAATATGTCCTCCAAACTCCTAACCCAAAGGACAGTTGTTTTGTTGTTGTTTTGTTGTTGTTGTTGTTTTGTTGTTCATTAAAAACAGAAACCTCAGATACAGGTGATCATATTTGGATTTACTATAAAATATTCCTCTGATCCTGTACCTCATATCTCCACCCCCCACTGACATTAGATACATGGTCCCTACCCTCTATCAGATAAGACGGGTACAAGAATGAGGCCATGGTGCCCTAGAAAAAGTCAGGGAATAAATGGCCCGTTTGTATGGGGAGAGGGGACTGAGAGATTAGTGTAGGGATACTGACAGAGGTGTGGGCAGGAGGGAGTCACAGGGAATGGTGAAGCACCCCAGGGGAGTTAAGAGTGCAGAGCAATCACGACTGCTAATCCTGAGGGACAGAGGGGGAGTGTTTGCAAGAACCTGGAGAGAGCACCACCACACAGCTCCCAGGTAGGAGTGTGGCTTGCAGCAACATAGTCCAGCCTGTCTCTCCTTCCACCCTCATCCTCCTGCTCTGCCCTCCCACTGGCCATCCTCAACTGGCAGGCTGAAAGCAAGGGAGCCTCGCTGATGCCTTCCACTGAAGTCAGCTTTCTGGGGCCCAGGGCGAAGACTGGACCTGGGGGAGCGAGTAGAAACAGCCAGGACACTCCAGCCCTGCTCCTGGGCTTCATTCTGACACAGACGGAGCTCTACCTACCCCTTCCATCGAGTCCACCAGAATCAGGTGCAGGCTCACCAGTCCACAGGGAAGGGGCGCTTGGCATCCCATAAAAACGAAAGAAATCCACTCCCATGGTGACCAGCCTCCAGAAAGGAGAACGAGTATCTGAAGTCCCTTGAGAGACAAGGTCTTCGGGATTTCTCTCACCAAAAAAGGTTAAGCAGAGGATGCAAACCCCATCAAGCAGAACTACCACCAAATCAACCTCAACAACTTCTGAAACTCATCCATCCATCTATTCAGTCCACAAATAGTTACTGCGCACCCGCTACGTGACTGTGCTGGAACAAGGCACACAGGAGGTGAACCAAATACAAAGACAGTCCTGGCCTTTAGGTGGTTTACAATCTAAAGAGACAGACGTTAAACACTAAATACAAAATACATACGTAATCACAAATGGTCATTAAGCGCTAGGGAGGACAACAACCAAGTGAAATGTGAAGGAGAAATGGGTGGCTGGGGATCTGCTTTAGCTCAGGGTATCAGGGAAGCCCTGTGTGATGAAGTTACATTGTAGTCGAGTGTCAGAAAGATAGTCCACTGTCTGCTTTAATGAACTGAGTGTGCAACTTCAGAGCCTACTCCCATGACATATTACTCTTCCTCCCAAGTCAGAAACGGCTTCCAAATGTCAAATCTAAAACAATTAAAGTGTGTCACCTCATGTCCTATCCTCAGTCAAGAGAGAACAGCTGGTCACCATCCCTCAGACTTATAATCATCATTCATATGTATTAAAGTTCATATTTTACCATCCCCTTAGCCTTCTCAACACTAAATAAATCCTATTTCCAGAATTGCACATTTTAGAGTTGAAAAATGCCGTACAGCTTATCTGCTTTAACCATTTCATTTTATGAATTAGTCACCTGAGGCTCCGGGAAGTAACCTCATTGAAAGTCACACAGTAGGACGAGAATGCAACCAAATGATTTTCTCTAGATGCTGTTACGATCATGACACTAGCCCCACTTGTGGCATCCTCATGAGTACACTGCAGGCCCAGGCTGAGCCCTAATGGGCGTTGATATGTTTGTGTCCATGCAGGGTGCTTAGCGCATAGTAAACATTCAAAATGTGGCAGCTGTTATTGCTATGTTATCGCTTAATCGCCATAGCCACCC